CCAGATAGTCGGCCGCTATTTTTGTACGGTTAATATTGCAGAGTTGATGGAGTAAAAAAACTTGGAACCTTTCTCTGTCGATCGTCGCAATTGTTTCGTTGTTATCTTGATCCTAATTATGATGCAATAAAAGTTTGACTTGAGTGACTTGGACCCGTGGAATGTAAATTCGACAGATTTTTGTCGAAAATAAAAATTCGTTTTTAATAAGTGCCTGTTTATTAATGCTGTATTCAAGTATATTTATTGCCTTCTTATAATTAAAATATATATTCATTGTAAAAAAAAATATTTTTGTAGGAGAGGTGACAAAACTATTGTTGTATTTTCTTGTTATAAAATCGTGAGTAAATAACCTCGAAATCATTTTATATATTTAATATAAAATATTTTCATTGCATTTTTAAAGAGGAAAATACCCGACATACCTTCGATATCATTATTCCGATTATGTAAAAATGCCCCCATTTCATTCGTGCAAATAATTATACTTTTTGAAATTAATTAATATAACGTATTTTTTTTCTTAAAGTTCACATTTTTCTTTTTTCAAAACACTACTTATTTTTGTTTATATCTTTTTTTATCATAAAGATATGCAAATAAAATAAATAAAGGACTCCAGAAAGTAATACGATAAATAACGAAATAATGGCTATAGGAGTCAGCGTGGGAGACGGTGCGCAAATCAACAAAATTAATATTCAATAAAATTTGCTATCATATCATATAAAATTTGTTATAAAATTATACACAAATTTTATATGATATAGCAAATTTTATTGACTAATTTCTTGACAATTATATAAACTTTCATTTTAAAAAAATCATTTAAATCGGTTGAATATTTATGCCTAAAAGTTATTTTGAACAAAAATATCGAATTCTGCCCCACTGTGCGCTGTTTCGGTAGAGCGAGATAGAACGAAAATAACAAGGGATAGACTGAATTCAAGCGGAATCTTATAGCGTATTTCACTGGTTGCACTGGTGCGCACTCAGTGCACATTAAGGCTGTTGTACACTATTCTAATCTTAAAAATATAAAAGTGAGATATCTCAATTGATAAAATGCCCAAAATTTATTTCATCAATAGCACAATTAAATGTATCGAATATTTCACGGTTTAATTCGTTTATATATTTTTATTAAACGTATATCTTTACGTCGATTTTTGTATAATGGCTTTAAAGTGCACTGAGTGCGCACTAGTTCTATCAATAAAAAACGCTATTAACCTCTTTATCCGTAAGTATCACGTCAATAAAGTTTTTTATTTTTGGAATTTTTCGTTTATTTTCATTCCACAATTCATCTTCGTCACTACTGGATGATGATGAGGACAGCACATCTAGCAGCTGAAGTGCTAATCGAGTTTCGAAACTGGCATCAATATGCCCCGCTTCCATATTGCACTG